TGAGGTCATTAGAAGCAAACAGAAACAAGAAAGTTAAACCTCTTCGGTTTGATTTTTGAGTTTCCAAAATCAGATATTTGAACAGTTGAGTAGCAAAACAGAACCTCAGCTCCTTATGTTGCAACCACAAACATAATTTTATTGGGTGAGGATAAATTACCAGAATTTTGAGTCTCTAATTTAGTAACCACGCACTCAATCATTTACTCAAAGAGAACTCCCATGCTGAACTTACCAGTAGTGCAATTGAGATTGTATTGATCCATCAGTGGAATTTAAATAGCCAGCAAATTGTTCAAAATTCGTTTGGAAAGAGACTTGCGGCAGATTTGTGACCTTATCGGCCAAAGCTTGTGCAGTTCTGTCACCGGATACAACATCCAGGACAAGTAAGAGCAGCAACGATGCTAAGCGCATGGTTGCAGCACCAACGCTAGAGCAGTAATTGCGCTATCACTAGAGCCAACCATAAAAGTGGTCGTAAAATGCGAGCATTTCTACACTTCACAAAAGTTCTTATCAGAATTTTTAAGTGAATTGAGTAGTCAGGAAACACCGCTCGCGAGTCGTTCAAAAGATGACTAGACAAGAAAGTTTCTAGGAATAGACAGCTGCAACTGTAGCTGTGCTCACTCCCAAACTCCAAGTGATAGTGAGGACAAAAGGAGACTAATTTGATAACTTCTGGGACATACATGGCCAGAAACTCCTATTTGAAAATTTGATAGAATGAACATTCCCAATCTAGGTTTCAGGAAATTTATTTGATGAAGCCGGTGTCCAGTTCCTTAAAAGAAAGTCATTTAAGATAATATTAGATAACTTTTTTTGAACACTCAAAAGTTAAGGTAACATTGAAGTGACAATACAACGCATTTTGCCCAAATTTATTCAAAAGTCAACAGGTCTGCGAAAACTAAACCCCAAGACTGCGAGACTTTCTTTTTTCAGGTCTTAAAGTCAGCTAGTTTGTACCAAATTAACACTGTAATGTCCTAAAAGGAGCACTCTTCAAAAAAACAATGACATCATGAAAAAGGGTAAAAAATTGGAGTCGAAAAATCAAAATTTATTAAAATTTTTAAATTTTTTTACTAAAATTACTTTTGATTTTGTTTCCAATCTGGTCACATGATTTTGTAATCGAACCTCGGCTCCTTCACCTGCTCTCCTTTATCTTCACAAAATAGATAGATTTAAAGTAGTTATTCAGATAGGTGTCCACCGTTACTGCCTTAGGTATGAGAAATACGGTAAAAGCAAACCTCCTTTTCCCTGCTAAGTGCGTGTTGCTATTTTACAAAAACGGTCCTTATATTTTCCATTTTTATTGTGCCTTTGATTTCGACAGAAATCCGCCTGAATAGTTACGCTGCAAAAAATCGTTTGCTTCACTTCGCTGGCTTCAACATGTAGAGAGACAATTAAAATAAAGGAAACCCATATATTCTGCAAAATGTTCTACGTAACAGATGAAAACATGCTCTTAGGACATATATGCATGAACTTTATTCTGACCAATCGGTAACAGATAATTTTTGGATTGAGTATTATTAAAATTTATTACATCAGAATAATCAACAAGATAAACAGTGTACAATATTCCCGTTTAACATGTAATGATGTTCTAGCTAGGAGTAATCAATGAGCAATATTTCTTCCGCT